CAGTCTCCCTTCCTTGAAAGCGCTCCCAGGGTGGCATCATCCCTGTTGGAATATTAACTTTGCTTTCCTGCATTTGGGATTAAATTGGATTAGAAAACATGCCTAGAATCAGTCTCCAGCCTAAAGTAAGTTAAGCCTCTGTCTGTTTTAAATGCATAACCTTGAGGAGAGCGACAGAAGCGGGCCTTTGTCTTGAAAATTGAATAAACTTTAAATTAAAGCCCGTTTTTTTTCTCTTCTTTAAATCTATTCTGACCCTGATCCCGGTGATGGTTTGTGCGTGTGTGTGGTGGTGGGGGGGATCCAACCGGCGTGGCGTGACAGGATTATACAGATTCCCGCTGAAACGTGGTGCGATCAGAAAATCTTGGCGTGTCTATGAGGAAAAAGCCCCCATCATCCAGGAATAGGAGCCTCTATCCGTTAAAGATCCGCCGCGCAGAGGGACAGAGCTGCGTATTCCTCTCCTCTGACTCCGTCACCGTTTCACCACTCTACAGCTCCAAAGGAAAATGTGACGTCTCATCCCAGACGCATCACTCCGCTAGTTTTTTTTTAACCTCCTTATAAATAACCCGGTCCTCCTCTGAGATAGAAAAACATCTGTGGACGAGGAGCAGCAGGAGGAGGAGGACAGTCCGCTCACAGAGACAGAAAGATCCGCGCTCTACATTTGTTATTGTGTTCGCTTTCCTCGTTTCCTTTGCCCTTGAGACGCGCTCCGCGTAACCATTGCGCTGCCAACTTTCCTCCAAACGGGACAGGCGCAATGGATACAGGTGCAGCGTCTCTATTGGTCCCTAAGAGGGGGATCAGGGGGCCTCCGGGGGGCCCACGATGCAAGAAAGGGAGCGTGGCACTGCTTCCCTCTGAGGACATGGAGGTCATGCCTCTGGAGGATTCCTTTAACATTGCCTGAGGGGCTGGAAAGCAGCACATGTTGAACCTCCTGTGGACAGATTTAGGGGAGTCATATTAAAACAGCTTATTTGTAGTCTATAAAAGAAATAATGACCTGAAACATACTTTGATATACTAAACTTCATCTGGATTTTGACTAAATAAAGATTCACTTAAAATCATAACCTGACTTCATAACAATCATCAGTGTAAATAATGTAAATATATATTTTAGTCAGAGACAGTTCAATATTTTTTGGGGGGGCTCTAAGCACAGCACTGATAACTGTTTTACTGAGTATTTACCACTCCTAGCTTTGTGGTTTAATAGATATAAACATCATTTGATCACTTTACCAATACATGAAAATAATAAATAAAACAGGTTGATTTCTCTGACTTAAAATTCTGGCACTTGAAAAAAAAGAGGATTTTTTTTATTGAATATCTTAAATCTGATTTTTCTATAACCTCTGGATTTAAAAACAGGAAGTGCCTGTCTCAAGAACATTGTGTAAATAGGGGTCAGATGTAGGCCAGTAATAACCCTTGGGGAGACACTGTAGGCAAAGCCCTAACAAAACCCTTTTAACAGGGTGCAACTGTATTGGAGAAATTTTTGCATACGTTCTTTAAAGGAGAACACCGTGTTGTTTACATTGGCCTGTTGATTTTACGTTATTACATCATGTTCTACTCACCCATATTAGTTTTGTGTCATTTGGAGCTGTTCTGAAGATATTCGGTTTTTTTGTATCCAAGTAACGTCTTCCTGTGGGCAACGACTTGAAGGCACAAGCTAAACTGTTCATAATTTATTCTTTATGGTACGCCAGCATTCATAACATGTAGGCGAATCACTGTCCCCCAGACATCCGTGGTTATATTTTTCATATTTTTATTTTTTTAAATGAAAGCGGAGTGCGTATGACGTCATCTGCGTGCGGCGGACTGGAGTTGTGACAGGCAGCCCGGGCCACAGGCGGCTACGCTCTACCCCTTCTATTCATTGGGCTACCTAATCTGAATCATTCAATTCCAGTTCAAGAGCGAGATCATCTGTGGTAGTAGCACTAGACATCTTCCAGGCATTCGGATTCATGTTATGAATGCTGGTGGACCATAAAGAATAAATTATGAACAGTTTAGTTTGTGCCTTCAACTAGTTGCCCATAGGAAGAAGTTACTTGGATATAACTTAACAGAAATCTTCAGAACAGCTCCAAATGACACAAAACTTATATGGTTGAGTAGAACATGATGTAATAACGTAAAATCAAGGAGCCAATGTAAAAAAAAAAAACTGTGTTCCCCTTTAATATTGTTGATCAATAAAAATGGTTATGCAAAACGTTCAGTTTTTACTTAAAAAAAAGAGTCTTAAATTCAGGCTTTCTTGCACAAATATGCCAAAACCCAGCAGATTTTCTAAGAAAGAACGTACGGTAGGTCCTCAGCAATTAAATCCTTGCATCCATTCCATCTACCTAGCTCTGCTGGAGGTTTCTTCCTGTCAAAAGCGAGTTTTCCTACCCACTGTCGCTTCAAGCATGCTGGGTGTGAGGGATTGCCTTCGAGACAATGAGTCGACACAATTAACTGGTTTTTCTTGGATAGAAAACTTTGAATCAGTTTGACTGGATGATCTGGTTGAATTGTAAAGTGTCTTGAGATGACATGTGTTGTGAATTGGCGCTATATAAATAAACCCAACTGAATCCATTAATATACATTCAATATTGGGTCACATGAATATCTGACCCTGCTAAAATGATTGAGAAATCCATGAGCAGGATATACAAACGTGAAGATATTTAAAAAGAATCAGAATATAAGTAGTGAACACAAAAAGTTAGATGTTTAGCCTAATAAATATGCATACAAGACTGTCAGAAGGTTCGTACCAGGAAATTCAAAAAAAGGGGCCGAGGCCCCCCTGATCCCCATCCTTAGTGGAGCCAATGTTTAATAAGTAGATTAACTAAGTAATGTAATTACAAACTAAAACGTTGTAATTTTATAGATTTTATTCAAACATAACAGGGATGAAAAAACGTGTCTCTTGTGTCCAACCCCTTTTTTTGCAATGGTAAAACTAACCCAACAAAAACGTGAATATCATATCTAAGATGCAAATTAACTTGCAAAAAAAGTAAAAAAAAAAAAAAAAATGTAGTTCAAGAACAAATTCCCTTTTGTATGCACTAAACAGATTGTGTCTACCCTGTTAGAAACAGCACCTCTTGTTTAATCTTGAAAGATTCTTGCCAATCCTATTCACTTAAACACAGTCTTATTGTTCAGAAAATATTGAGTTAGCATGTTAACTCTGATGGCCAATTTGCTATTAATAAAAAGGAACAGATTTTTTAAAATTCTATTTAATTTACTATTGTCTGCCAAACAAAGGAGGTCGGACATGTTGGGGTATTAATCTGGAGTTTGAGTGACAGCTCTCTCTGCATCTCATTAAACTAAACATAAAAGTCAATTAAAACTGTATTCATAGCTGCAGCAGCTCCTTTCCCATGAGCTTTTTCTTTCAGACTTATATCAGTGTGTGTGTGTGTGTTTGTAGGCAAGCTGACACCACAATCTCAGTCATTACGGCGTGTTTGGGTTATGCTGGCGCACTCACACGCCACATGAGGGTGTCTGCAAGAGATGCAGGGACGCACTGTTATCTCCCGCTGATGTCTGAGGGCGGGGGCCTCTGGTGAGAAAAAGGACAAGGGAAAACGGCCGTTTCTTAGAGCTCAAAACTGGTTCATCAGCTTATTAAGAGGGGAAACCCTGCTTGTGCTGTACTGAATCGACCATAGTCTGTGGTTAGCGACTAGATTGCAGTGCTGACGTTATGGAAAATAGTTTGGATTTCTGAGGAGAGTGTATTAATAATTATCTCATAACTAGTGTGCCGTTTCTCATTAAAAGGCTAATGTTTAAAGCGTTTTGTTATCTCTGCCAAGCAGAGGAAATGAACTTCACAGTGGAGGATATCAGTAGAAAGATAATCAGGAAAATAAGTTTTTTTTTAACTGGAGTAGCGCCTTTTTCTAAGAAAGCAGACAAAGAAGAAGAAAAAATATACTGAGGAAACAAAAGTTGATATTTTAATGGTTTCTCACAGCATCCATCCATCCATCCATCCATCCATCCATCCATCCATCCATCCATCCAAAGACAGATAAATGGAAAACAATCTCTAAATCCAACATAAAACCAGAGAAGCATTATAGTACATTTTGGCTGAATGTTTGGTTTACAATCACTTGTTTGGTGCTTATTTTAATAAAATCAATACTCTTACAGAGTCATTATAATTAAAAGGAATTAACCAAAAGAAAAAACACCAAATATTGGTCATTGATCATCGCCGTCGTTTAAAACGCAAACATCAGTTATGGATAAAAATGGCAATGATTTCTGCAGAGGGTCAAGATATAAAACAGATGAGAACTCAGGTTAGGAGGAACCAGAAATATGTTCGCCTCTGATGCGCTGTGGAAACCTGTGCAACAAACATCAAACAAACTGAGGCAGAAACATCCCTCTGATTCTGATCCGTCCACAGACTTAAGGCTGGATAAAAACAAAACAAATATTCCTATTTTATGGTGCAAACAGTGGGGTCTGTGAGCAAACCGCAGACAAGCATCAATTCAAATTATTCCTAAACCATAAATCATTCAGCAGATATCCCAGGGATGTCCGGTGCTTTGAAAAACTCTCATAAAACCATTGTCCCGTATGCATTTTGTCATATTACAACCACAGACTTTACTGGACTTCATAGAGGTCTGATGATTAAAAACTGTTTTCATGAATAGAAATCCAAAAATGTGGGAGCAATTCTTGCTCACTACTCATTTACCTTTTCTTTCAAATAAAAATCTCCATCAATAGACTGCCTGCAAAAGCCTTTTCATCAATAAATACAGTAGAAGGCATCAGAAGAAGCGAAGCAGCATTACGAAGACCAAAGATCCCAGCAGGCAGGTCAGAATCTGTTCAGTCCATTTTGAGAAAATGGAAGGAATATGGCACAGCCTGCCAGGACATTGCTATCCACCTAATCTGACAGGCAACTAAACAAGCAGATAACAGCATAAAGGCTAAGAACCACAAAACATAAGAAAACTAAAAGACATCCTGCTAAAGTTTGCTACAAGCTGTATTGAGGATCCAGCAAACATCTGGTAGAAAGTGGTCTGATTAAATAAAAACAAAATTTAACTTTCCAGCCTAAAGGTTCCCTTTCAGCAAACTGAAACATACCGCCAGAGGTACACCGGAGTGCTTAGGACCAAAAGGATGAGTTCATATATCACAATGGTCCAGTCAAAGTCCAGACCTAAAGAGAAATACTGAATTAATCTCCTCATGTGCAAATATGGCACAGAAACACTTCAAAAGACAAATTATTATATTTATATTAGATTATATTTCCTTCTACAAAGTTCCGTCATTGGAGCTGAACCTCCAACTGTTTCCGCTGTTTCACATTTCTGTACTGCTTTGTTTTGATGAAACATTGATGGAAATCTCAGTAAAACACACTGAACGTTGTGGTTGTAATGTGTCAAAACGGAAAAAGCTGAATGGGGTATGAGTAGATTTGCAAGGCACTGAATACCTGAGCGTGATGTAGCAGCAACACGTAGCCAAAGGAAAGTATCCCGCATCCCCATCATCATCCGCTAAATCAGGATCTGGTCTGATTCGCAAATTGGACACAGAAAGCTGGAAAAGGAAACCCTTTTACAGCCCTAAAAGGAGGTCCATCCACATCCTGAGACGGCAGGAGGAGACCTCCCTACTTTTCCTGTCCTCCCTTATTCATTTTCAATTTCTCCTGAAACTCGGCGTGTTTCTGCCGCAGGATTTCTGTCTGCTTCTTGAAACCGTTGACCCTGCAGAAGACCAGACGGCAGATTTAGCTTCCACTGTTGGACACTCATCGATCTGTGTGTGGGGGTGGGGGGCTCACTCACCTGGCCCTCTCTTTGCTTTCGTTGTAGATTTCTGTAATGACTCGATCTTTCTCGTCCATGAAGTTATTATGAACTTCTTCCAGTTTCCTGAAGAAGAAGGAGAAACAACTGCCGACTACTGCATGTTTGCTTGACCCCCCCCCAGACCCCTCTGCGTTTATTAGTTTGTTCAGCTGTTATAACAGCTGCTCAGATTCACAAAGAAGTGACTCTCGGCAAACACGAGAGGCACAGAGTCATTGTATGGAGACAAACATGGCAGGAAATTAGTCGCCAGGTTGTGCCAAACCACATAGGCATGCAGGGAAACACGCCGCTTAGCAGGAGGCTATCTGATGGTTTTCCTCTTCCAGATCCCCGACCAGTACAGAGGCTGAGCTACGAAAATGCTTACCTGAAGAAAATCGTGTGCGCTCCTACGCTGAGCATCATGGTGATGACACAATACACCACCAGCTTGTAGTTTCTCTTCCTCTTCTCCTTTCTCTCCTCCGCTGTTGCCTCAGGAGTCTGGGCTTGACGAAACTGTTCCCAGTAACGAACGTCGTCACTAGCGGTAGTACTGGGAGGAAGAGAGGGAAAAAATATACGATGATCAGCAGTGATGCACGCAGGCTGAATGGAGAAATCAGAGTGGTGCTGAAACCCACAGAAAAACAGACATCAGATCTTAGAAACATCTGCAGATGAGGTTTTTAATGTAACAGCAGGAGAGGAATCCATTCGCTACTGTAGGCTTGAAACAAAGCAGCACTACACTTGTGCTAGATTACTGTCATGGCTTATTAGGTCAGGTATACCTTCTAGATTTGTGCATAAAGCTCAAGGGAAGCTACAAGAAAAATCTGCATGAATCTGGGTTCATCCTTTTTTCTCATGTTTTTTTTTGGTTTTGTTTCCAATCACGTAGGAATCTTAGGCCTATAAAGAGCGGCCTCATCTGGAGATGGCTGCATTGGATAATAAGCATGTAGTAATAATTGCATTTATCGGGGCTCCTGGTAAAAACATGCTAAAAGACTCTGAATCATTTCTTTTACTGTGACTAACTGGATGTGCTCTCTTTCATTCTTTGACATTAGAGCTGGAGCTTGTCTGCCTGGCTGTGTGTTTCCTGAACAGTGCCGCCTCTGGAGCTTGTTGACAGTTGCATTTTGTATGTCTGCTTCTGTCTCCTTTAACCCCAGTCAGCCTTGGCAGATGGCCGCTCAAACTGAGGCTGGTTCTGCTGGAGGTTTCTTCCTATTAAAAGTGAGTCTTCCTCTCCACTGGCGCTACATGCATGCTCAGTGTGAGGGATTGTCAATGACAAAATGCAAATGATGGTCGTCGCCTCAGGCTAATTCAGGAGGAGCATGTCTTCAAGACAATGACTGGATACAATCAGCTGGTTTTCTTAACAAATCTGACAGCGTGTGCTCTCTAAAGTGCCTTAGATGACGTGTTGTTAATTGGCGCTGTATAAATAAACTGATTTGGATTGAATTGGAATAGACGCAGCTTATGTCACAGTAGAATAATCACACACTGGGAATACTGGAAAAGTCAAATTCTTTCAGGTTGGCATTTAGTAGATTTTATCAGGCATAGAAAGTCGGCTCTATGGCTATAGCTCTTTGTCTACAGGCTGTCAGAACAGCTGAGAGTGACTAAGGATGGAATTCATTTTATCAACAACTGTTTTCAGAAATGTGATTTATGAAGAAAAACTCCAGTTGGTGACAAATGAAAACCTCTATATTCTGACAGATTTATTCAGATTTTTGTTTTTCACTGTCTTATCCACAGGGCTTTGGCTTCACTCAATAATCCCAGTAAACATGATTAAATTTAATGTCCATATAGCTCATCCTTAAAAACAACACATTTCAGTTTTCTGGTACTGGGTCCCTGCAATATATCTTTAAAAAACTTTGAAAATGTAAAACTTTAGAGTGTTCATGAAGTACTGGCCCACAGCATCACAGATCCCCTATTGTAGCAACGATAATTATGGGTGATTTCCTTTATTATCTGATATTAAACATTTCACACACCTGGACGGTCTGATTGAAAAGAAACTCAATCTTGACCCAGAGCTCCAGTTGAAGTCTGGTTAGAGTTGGCATCCTCTACATTAACGTTAATGGTTCTGATCCAGCTAGTCCAGCAGTCTCTTATTTCTCCGTGAAGCTTCAGCATGACACGAAAAACTTCTTAAATACACCAGTTCATACGTTTAGTAATATGCCACAGAGATTGGAGGGTTTTTGGTCTCTTGTCTTTTCCTTGATTGAACAGTAACTGCTGAGAACAGCCCAACCATAGTGTGCGAGTCCTTACCTCCTGTACACCGTGTGACTAGAGGTGGAGCTGAAGGCCTGTCCACCTCGGTACGGATGCTGGAGTTTAAAGTCATACTCCTTCCTGCTCAGCTCTTTGCTCAGCACTCTGTAGGCTTCGTTCAGCTCAACAAACTGACTGTGCAGCTCCGGGTTCGATGGGTTGCTGTCTGGGTGTAGCTGCAGGACGAGTGAACCAGAGTCGGCACATATATATATATACATATTTATGCACATGAATAGTTTATAAATCCAAACTGAGGTGTCCTTTTTTTAATTCTACAGGGAGAGGCCTCACCTTAAAAATGAAAACAGAACAGCACCATAAAAACAAATGCTTATCCTTGATTACTCAGGAACACTCCATGAAAACAGGAAGCCAACTTTGAGAACCATAAGAAAGCACTGATTAGCTTAGGAAATGTCGCCCTCTTGTGGCCAATATAATTCAACTGCATGTTTTCAAAGCCAAAACTAGGCTTTGTTTTTTGGTCCACTCTATAAAGCCTTGAACTCAGCGCTAATTCTGACATTTTGAACTGAAAAAGCTTCCTGGATGGGAAGCGAAACGTCTTCAAACTAGCAAACAAAGTCCAGTGGATTGTTTTTTTTTTACTTTTTTGGAATGACCTGGATGACTGAAAATCTTCACCAGCAGATATAATTCAGTTTGGTAAAAGGAAGTACCTTCTTTGATTTGTCAAAAAAAGCATTCTTTATTTCATCCACGGAGGCGTCTGACTTGACTCCCAGTAGTTCATAGTAGCTCACAGCTTTTCTGTCATGACAACAATAATCAAAACACCAGACTGGCAATTAAACCTGGACATTTACACAGAATAAAGCATATATTCCTACCTTTGTGCATAGCTCTGAGACAGCATCCGCAGTCCTGTCTTGCAGCACCAAATACAACTCTGGCATAGCCGCAGCTGAGCTTCTAGCTGCATGATGGAAAATGTTCAATACTGACCTGCAGCAGAAAGACATAGAAAACAAATGGGAAGAGATTGCATCTTAATGAATTCTATCAGGGTATATTAGAAATGAAAACAAATGAATTCCAGTATGCCAAAAGGATTTTTTTTTTTTTTCCTCTGGAAATTAACTTGTTTACACTGCATGGAGAAAAAAAATTGAAATACAGGGAAAAACCATGTAAATGATAATATCACAGGAACAGAATCATAGAGGAAGATTTTAACAGAGGACAGCAAGTCCCTGTAGAAGATCAAGGATGGTGGAGGTTGGAGTTCATCCTGCTTTTACAAGATATGAAAAAATTATTATCTGGTCATAGATTCTCTAAATGTTTACATCCAACCTCACTGGAATAAAAATAACTCATCGGAAACTGTTATTAATTTATAATGCTGCAGCTAATATGGAAAGGTTGCTCCCAGAAAACCCACGAAAACCTCATCATCCATCAGTGTGCAGAACCAGCTATACAGTGCCTTATAAATGACCCCTTGAACTTTTTGACCTTTTGCCAATTTTTGTTATTTTTGTGAAGAATCAACAACAAGTGGGAACAAAATTTATTGGATATCTTAAACTTTTTTAACAAATAAAAACTGAAGATTGGGGTGAAAAAAACTGGCCCTTTTCCTTTCAGTGCAACAAACTCTCCAGAAGTTCAGTCAGGATCTCTGAATGATCCAATGTTGACCTAAATGACTGATGATGATACATAGAATCCATATGTGTGTAATCAAGTCTCTGTATAAATGCAACTGCTCTCTGATAATCTCAGAGGTCTGTTTGAAGCGCCAAGAGCATCATGATAAGCAAGGAACAAGGGTTGCGAGGTGTGCTGGTTCCTATCTCCAGCTGTCTACAGGTCAGAGGCGGGGTACACCCTGGACAGGTCGCCAGTCCATCGCAGGACTCAAGATTACGATCCTGCCTTCAAATATTATTCGGCTGTCGGAGCCGCTCAGACCCCTGTACCACTGCGGAGATCTGTCACTGGGAATCCCCTTCAATGGCAGCCTCAGGCCAGGTCGCCTCTTCAGGGTTTTCGGCTACTGTTCGAGGCTGGAAGTTTTTTTTTCACGTACATAATCCAAACTGCAGGCATCAGAATAATAAAATCGAACATATTTCACAGGCAGGTTTTCTGAATTTTAAGTGAATTAAGGCGTTAGTGAACCATTTCAGAGGAGTGATCATAGCGATCTGCATCAGCAGTGCTGTGTCTATCTCCCTGCCAGCTCCCAGATCAGCTTCTCTGATTGGTTGATATTGCGCGTCGAGTGCATTGCGTGCGTCAGATGCTCAGAAGATCATGAGGCGCTACTTATTCACCCATTCTGTTTTCATTGCTCACTAAATCAAAGTTTTGCAGCTATGATTTCTTTAATTAGACAAGATTTCCCCAATGCAAATCAAACTTGCTTTTCAAACTGTTTGGCATTTGGATAAATTGGCTTGGATGACAACTCCAGGGAAGATTGGAAAAAATTGCTGCAACATTATGGACCTTTGAATGGTTTTTTAACCTGCCTTTTACCAGGCTTTCTAGAATGGACATGCCTTTATGTCCTGACATTGTATTAACATGCATGCTCCTCACAACTAGATGGAGAGGTCAAACTAACTCAGTGGTTCCCAAAGTGTGGGGCGCGCCCCCTAGGGGGGGCGCAATGCCATTGCAGGGGGGGCGCGGTAAGCGGCATGGATGAATGAAGAAAGAAAAAAAAAAAAAAAAAAAAAGGGCTTGCTTTGACTGAGCATAATGGACAGTTGTGACACTGCAACCCAGATTTGAGAAGATCTACAGCAACAAGCAGGCTCACTACAGCCACTGAAAAGATGGGAGGATTAAAGTACAAAGAAAAAACTCTCAGGGAGCTGTTCAATGTTTTCACTCCATTTTGCACAGAGGCTTTTTTAATGTATTGATGATAGCAAAGTTAAATATTGTTACAAATAAAAAAAAAAGAAATATGTTTAAAATAACACAGACAACAAAGAATCCTCTTCTAATCTACAGTATAGAACTATGAAAAAAATACAGTTACACAAAAGTGTTCCACTGTAAAGATGGTGTATAGTTTGTTTTGTTGCAACCTGAAGTGTGAAATAAACTTCAGTGGAGTTTGAAAACAAAATATGTGTATAGGTTTATTATATCAGGTTGAAAGCTGTGTGTGCCCAGTTGATTTTTTATTTTATTTATTTTTTTTTTCGGGGGCGGGGGGGGGGGGGGGGGCGTGGAAATTTTATTGTAATCCAAAGGGGGGCCCAGAAGAAAATCTTTGGGAACCACTGAACTAACTGATGAATAATCAATGTTTAGAATGTTGAGCCTTTCTACAAAGTTGATCTATTCATCTTTATGTTGACTTTAGAAGCAAATTAGTAAACTAATTAATTCCTAATCTATTAATCCCTGCAGGTAAATTCAGTGTGTGCTTCATTCAGTGTTTACCTTTCACTGTGTTTCCATTTAAGCTGTTGAGGTTGGCAGAGGAACATCTGCCAGCAGCAGAGAATGGGATGAATAAAATCACAAAACAACCCCTGAAGCAGGAACCAGAGCTTCCTGTACCAGGAAGAGATTTTAAAAGTGAAACAAAGTAAACCACCGCTGCTTTTAACCCAGAAATTATATGAAATAGTGCAGGATATCAGTAAAAAAACAAAACAGAGTTCACAGAACACTTAGTTCTGCTGCTAATGCTAACGCAGCTTAGCTTCAAATGTTTTTTCCGAGGCGACAGTGAGAGAGAAACGCAAATAAACGTCTTTTCCATGATTATTTTATGTGTGAAATATAATCAGTAAAGAATATAAGTAGAAGTTAAACCATAAAGGTGACATACCAGAAGGGCTCAGTTTCGTAACGCTTCAGTTTTCCAATACATCAAGCTGCTAGCGTAATGGGACCGGAAATGAAACGTATTTTCCAAATAAAGTAACTGCTGTACGGAAGAGGATTAGGGCCACTGAAAAAATTAAAAAAGGAAACTGATTTTAACATTTTAGTTCTGTACAATATAAGAAAAGGGTCAGAATTTGACTTTAGTTTAATATGGGGGAAAAGAAATCAGAATTATGACTTTAATCTCAGAATTGTGACTTTTTTCTAAGAATTCTAAATGTAATCTCAGAAATCTGACTTTAATCTCAGAATTCTAACTGAATTCTGACAGCTAACAAACATGTTAGCAACAAGCCGTAACCATGTCTGTTTTAGAGACTAAACTATCTCTCTTGCTTTAATCACCTTCTGCTCTTCCATTAATGAAATAGCATCACCGGGGACCCCTCTGGCACATAAAAAGTTGCCCTACTGGCCCTCCCAAACAACTCACATCTTTGTCAGTGAAGCTGAGTGCTCCCACGTCTCTTCCTTCATGGTGCCCATCTACATTAAGATCCAAAATACTGATATTAATGTCAGAATTCTGAGATTGAAGTAAGAATTCTGAATTTTTTTACCATGTTAAACTGAAATAATATTTAAAAATCAATTTACTTTTTTCATTTTTTTCAGTGGCCCTAATCCTCCTCCATAGAGCTGTCAGTTATAAAGTGATAATAATAAGCTGAAGATAATAAAGTGATCATGCTAACGACACCACCTGTTGACGGAATTACTACATGTATGAAATGTGATCTAGGCTCTACCTTTGCCCGCTCCTGTCTGGTTTTATTTTTCTGACGCTTTTAATCCCTACATTAATGGAGAAGAGGAAGGATAATTTTTTTGCTGTTTTATTTTTAACATGTAGATGTTTATTTTGAAAATGACAGGAAATACAGTGTTGATGCTAAACAGTTTGACAAGAGCCAACAATTTAGGAACACACCCCTAATTGTTCCGGGTGGGTAACCATGTGATATTAAAAAAAAAAAAAAAAAAAAAAGTAAATATAAAAAGCATTATGGATTTTATTTACAAAAATAAACGAACACTCTCGAGCAAAAATTATATTTCTTGTTTCATAATTCCAGCTGATAGAACTGCAGTTCTATGTGTTGGCCACCGGGTGGTGCTAATGAAGGATTTTCTGAAATCCAGCACAGAGGGGCAATGAGGAAGAAACGGCAGTTGAGCCTGGATGAAGGCAGCAGGAGTAAAACTATACAGGTGAGACAGAATAATAAAAAAACAACTTTAAGATTTAGGTTTATTCGACTTTTTTTTTCTCTAAATAGAAACAGTTGATTCTATATTATATTGTTAGTATGGTATTTTGACTGCAGTTCGTGTTATCCGAATTACTTAGACAGTTAGAATAACAGTCCTGACTTTATTAAACCAAAATATTTAAACCTGTATGAAAACCAGAAACGACCTTAAACTCTGATACCTCCTTAAATCTTTAATATTAGGAGTCATTCAGCATAGGGCGGTGGTAGTGGGAAGTTTAGTAGGTTTTACATTTAAAAGTAGCGAATTCAACATTAAATCTCCCCTTGTATCTGTGCAGGTTAAAGAGCAACATGAAGTGTCACCGATTATAGAGTAATTAACAAGCCTTTAGCAGTCAGAGAACTAGCATATGCTAAAACTTACGCAGTTTACTGTCTCATGTTAAACAGGAAGTACTTTTTTTTTACTGCAAAGAGTCAGAGTTTGCAATGCTGAAATTTTTAACCTGTTTTTTTGTTTATTTTTCTTAACAAATCAAGAGTTAAATCTCTTTCTACGGGTCCAACATGTCAACATCATGATCTTTGTTTATCTGCTAAGAAGGATCCAGAAAGTTTATAGAAGTTGCTAATTATTCATGCAAGTGTTCCTGGCAGTACTAATGATACCCTTATATGTTTTCCTCTCTCACCAAATTATTGTTTAGATATTTCAAAGATTAAGATTAGGATTAAATACCTTTAGTTTTTTTTTTATGTTCCTGTCATTGATTCTTTCATTCCGTCCTTGCAGTAAGGCCATTATCCACAATTACTGCCTAACCATTGAGAAAGACGCAACAACGTGCTGCCAAGGTTGAGCAAACTCTGTACTGGTGGTACTTTTGTTTATATTTTAGCTGTATGTAAATGTATTGCCTCTAAACCTCTTGATGTTTGAAAAAAAAAAGAAAAACTCTTGTTTCAGTAGAAATGTTGGAAGGAATCATTTCTTAATTTCAGTGGCTGAAATAAATAAAAAATAAAAAAATAAATTAGTCTAGGCTTGGATGTGTTGCACCCACCAAGCCTGAAATATTTAACCTCCTGTATGATGACAAAACCAAACTAGGGCTGGCCAATGGACTTCAAATCTGATCAGGTTATTTTGTGGTGCTATCATCAGAACAATAAAAGTGAGGATGAAAAAATAATCCTTACTTCTTTACAGTTCTTATTTAACTGTATGGCTGTGTCTACATGCCAAAGCAATCATAGCTCCACTAATATCTGCTGCTGAAAACTACAGATTTAAACCAGGCTTCTTTAGGACACCAGTTAAATAAAGAAGAGTGATTTTTATCACAGCGACCACATTTAATAATATTCTTCAAATTTGTCAATCCCCCAAAGCAAAGAAAAACAGAAGAAAAAAGTCATAATTAATCTACTTTTTAAATTTTTTTGTAACATCATTTATTTTCATTTATCAATTAGACGATAAATCAAAATTCTTATCAAGATGAGAAATTTATCGCAACATCAATATTCGATTGGACAAATGCCCACGTTTAATTTTGACTGTTTTCAGCCCAGAATAAAGACACTAATTCATTTCTTTTTCTCACTAAGGTCCATTTGTTTTTATCTTTCTATTCAGAATTGAACAAAATCATCATATTTACCCAGATCATTGCCTAATGTTTATTCATGCTGTTTCTTTCTGGGGACTGAAACAACTCAGAAATTATTTCTGATCTTTTCAAGATTATCTGTATTTTAGTTTTTCTCACCGGCTATAAAACTTTCTTGTCTTTATACGATCCTTCCTGCCTGTTTAAGGGCCCCGTCAGGCTCAGAGAGTGGAGTAAGGACTCCAGTGGTCGTCCACATGACAACATGATGGACCCTGAAGTGTCCATTCTGCTTGACTGTGCACAGTGGAGGGGGCTGCTGGAGAACCAAGTCCAGGTGGAGCTTTCTGACAGGTACATGGATCTCCTCTGATTTTTAAGAAAAGATGGTTTATATTAGAGCTTAAACTAATTGGATTAATCCTGATTAATTGATATTGAAATAATCAACTAATTTAGTAATTGATTCATCATTAACTGGAGAATACAGACTCTAAAAGATCCCTGTAGCTGACCGAACAACTCACTTAAAGTGGTAAATATAACAGAATTGTAAAAAAAAAAAAAGATAGAGCATATTGACTTCTGTCAATATGCTCTATCCAGAACTCCTAAAGTGTAAAGTTAGTTTCCCTGGGTTAGATTCTGTAAAAAAACTTATTTAAGGAACCTTTTGATATCTCATTATTAATCGATTAATCAAAAAACCAATCAACAGATTAATCGATTTGCAAAATGCAAAATAATCATTAGTTGCAGCTCTAGTTTATATTTTCCTTCAAAGTAGGCTGATTATTCTTGCATTTGTAAATGGGTCCTGGCCAGAAGTCTTGCTTTGGACTTTAGCTGCTTTTTTCACTCAATAAAATAGTTTGTATACATGCATTAAATTTAAGTTGATTTTCTTATTATCAAACCAGTTTTTTTTTAAATAAAAAAAATTGTTCTTTCAGATGGGATTAATTTCAAATACCTGTATAGGCACGTCATGAAAACCTGACTTGTTTTCATGATGAACCTAAACATGAATTTGAAGTGTTAATTATTCCAATAAACATGATGATAACAAAATTTAAGTTTATCTTTATTTTTGTTGAAATATTTTTTTTAGATATTTTGTATAGAGTTAATCTGTTTGTAGACATCATGAAGCAGTCTTGTCGACATGTAATAAAGCGTCAGATCTTTGGGCCTTTTGTTTTCAGCAGCCTAGAATTAAGACTCAGTTTGTTCCTTTTTCTTTAGCTAAACCTGATAAAATCTGATGAAATGTTGAATAACACCAAGACTTTATAATGACTGACTCCTTCTTCCCTCAGATTCAACAGGCAGACAGATCCTCTTCTTGAGCAGCACATAGGTGAAGTTTGGACGCAGCGGCTTACCAAGGAGCCGTGGCTTTTCAACGGGGCCAAATTCAGGCTGCATTCCTTCCGCTTGGCCTCTCCAGAACGTCTGCACTGTGATGGCTCTGACGGCCACCTGTGTGAACAGAGGAGGGATGGTGCCGCAGAGGGGGACCATGTTCACATCAATGGTGGATGTCTAGATCAGTCAGGAGATAATGGAGGCTTCAATGAGAAGCCGTCCCCCGCCATGTCGCGGGGCGCTGCTGTTCGCCATCACCCTAGTTCCCTTCTCACCCTGAGGCTGGGCCTCACCTGCTACAAGGACTACCTGGGAACAAACTGGTCGTGTAAGGTGGCAGAACTCCGTCGCCGTGGCCAGAAGGAGTTCGGTGACTCTCTGGCTCTGCTGGCTCAGCCGCTGGGTGTGGGCGGCGTTTTGTGCACATGCGACAGTCAGGTGGTGTTCATCAGGAGGAGCCAGAAGGTGGCAGAGGCAGGGGGGTTGCTGGACATTCCCGGCGGCCACCCGGAGCCAAAGGTGATGCTTAATGAGTGAAGTTGTTTAAATGCGCCGTCTGAGGCTGTGTTTCACAAGTTGCTTCTGTCTGCAGGCCGTGTGTGAGCGGCAGGGTGAGGCAGGGGAGCACATCAGCATGGCAGTGATGCAGCAGAGGCCGGACGCCGTCGTCTCAGAGCTGTTCTCCTCCGTGTGCGCAGAGATCAGGGACGAGGTGGGTGGTCCCACACTGGTCTCCATGTTTGATGCAGACTGAGCAAGGGAAGTGGCACATAATGCTATAGTGGTAGGATGGAATCTGCTTAAACCACAGCCTGTCAT